TTCTTCGGCATTTTAAAAAATCTTCAAATTGTGAACTCATGATTGAAATATTTATGATGCTAAATAAATAGAATCCTTTGAGAGATAGGCTGGATCATGTACTATAACATTTTAAAAATTTGTTTTATTTTGATCCAATTTTAGACTTCAGAAGCTGGAAAAATAGTACAGAAAGTTTCTGTATATTCCTCACCCATCTTCCTTTAATGTTAACGTCTTACATAACCATAGTAAAATTAATATTGATATAATTTGATCAACTTAAACTAATGGACCTATTCTAATTTCACCAGTTTTTCCACCAAGGCCTTTTTTCTGTTGCAGCATCCTATCTGCGATCACACATTGCATTTAGTTATTATTTTTCTTTAGATTTCTGCCATCTGAAAGAATTCATCTTTCCTTGTCTTTCCTGACCTTGACACTTAGCATGAGCACTAATCACTTGTTTGGTCAGATGCCTTCTGATTTGGGTTTGTCTGGCATTTACTCATGATTGGATGGAAGTTCTGCCTTTTGACGAGAATACAACAGTGCATCATGTTCATGGTGTCAGTATGTCTTATTACTAGTGATACACAGAAGTGGAGGGAATGGTACTGTGAACTTATGCATACCCAGGAGTCAGCTGCTGAATGTAAACATTTTGCTAGTACAATCTTACTTTGTCTCCCTCACCAAAAAATCCCAAGACTTGAAGATAATTCATGATATAAATGTTAATACATAAACTATTTGCCATTTATAGAGCTTTTTAAGTACTCCTAGGTAGAATAACTTGGTATTTTCAGTTAAGTTGAAATTCATATTTATTATTTTATTTATTACTGTTAATCTGTCATCCCTTAGTATTTCGAGTTTTCCCTATGTTGAGGACACTCTGCCACCCCAGCTGCCCAGTTTGATTAAAGAAAAAAAAGGGTGGCTAAACAACGATTTACTACAATGCTTAAAAACCTAAGTGGTTGACGTATTGGTGTGAGAGCCATGGAGTAGCAATAATGTTTTTCTGTTATGTTAGTTGGTGAATGTGATGAAGTATCCGTATATATGTTTTAAATCCTGCATTAGAATGTTCAGAGTAGGCGGATGGCACAGGGGGCAGCAGGCTTTCTGTTTCTCATATAAATGAACAAACCAGTTCTGCTTCCCAGAGAACCCTGGGGGGTTCAGAGAAAGAGAAAAGTCTGCCCTTACCTGTGTGTTCTCCATTCTTAGGGCACTTTCCTCCACAGTGCGGACAGCCATACCCTTCTGGAGAGGGCTTCATTTTTGGACATGATTTTCAACCCGGTCTTTTAGTTATCAATCAAAAACACATTTTCTTTGTCATCCTCATTTACATTTATTTAATGCTTATGGTCATTTGTGACCATTTGAGTGTATTTCAGCATATGGAATCAGGAAATAATAGATTTCAGCTTCATGCTGTGAAGAGAGATTGTGTTTTTACAAGACATAATGTTGTTTACTGGGTGTTAATAATCACTAATTAATAAACATATCTAGACTTCTAAAATGTTGCAGTTTGAGGAATAAAAATGTCAAGTGTTTAAAGTACGAAGTGCAATAGTATTTTCTATCGTCGTTTCATAAAATAATTAAGTTACATGAAGCAAAATGTCATTGTGCAACACAGGTCATAGCCCAAATGCTTAATACATGGCCTTTGTTTCTGTTTTTCTGCTCTCAAAAATGCTATTTCTAAACATATTGTTCTGATATGTACCTGGACATGTAGTCTATATGTCAGTAATCTTACAGGAACCTTCAAGATGAGGGATTTTATTCTGTCTTAATCTCATACTAATTGTGGTCAGTCTCTTCTCTTTTAACCACTGCAAGAATTTCGTGTAAAGTCTGCTAAAGCACTTGCTAGAAAACAGGTGGATGAGTCAGTCTTTGAAATGCCTTGATCTTATATTAAGGAGCTACCTGACCACTTCACTGTTAAGAAGCTCAGAGAAACTGCCAACCAGTGATGTAATAATCAGCATTCTCCTCCATCCACCACTTTCCCACCCATAACCAGTACAATGTGATGAAAGTATTAGTTCCATGAGAGAAGAAATAAAAGGAAACCATTCACAAAAGAACTAAGATATAATTCAATATTCTTTTTTAGTGCCTTAATGCATGTGCAGAATTTTTCCTCCAAATTGGAGGTGTGGGATAACAGTAGCGACAGATAACTAAGAGGTATTTACCATAGCTACAAAGCCCACACGTGAGCCAAATATTTCTGCTATTAAAAAGCTCTTCAAAGCTTGACATGAAGTTTGTAATAGCTGAATGTCTCTTGTGACTTCATTTGCAAAGAAGATGTATAAGCTGAAAGGAAAGTAGTGATATGAGAACTGTGAGCCTAAGAAATGGCTCACAAAATTTCTTTTTAAAAAAGAAATAAGAAGCTGCCCAGAAATTTGACTGGTGCCCCAGCTCCTGTTCCCACTACTCTGACCTTGTTTTCAGTAACTACCAGCATTTTTCTGGCTACCAACCTCTTCTTACCTTTTATACGGGGACAGACCCAGGTTGTGTGGGGCCTGAAACTTATTTCGAGGCCCTCTTTAGAAGGATGAATTTGATTATACCTTACGTTAGTAAATTTTACAGAAGCATATGACCCTGTGAACACATTACTAAGGCTCCTTGAAGGGCTTTGGGAGGGGCCTTGCAAGTGAGAGGCTCTGACACCGAAGCTTCATTAGCCTCATGGTAAATCCACCTCTGCTTTCATAAGAACCACCTTCCTTGCCTGGAGTAACTCTCTTCCCTTATGTGCCAAACTTTCTTGCTCCCTCTGATCCATTTTAATGCCAGTCTGATTGTTGCTAAATATGAAAAATATGTTTGTGAAAGTCTGGAGGCCTTAGCCCTGGTGGGATCTAGGATCCATATATTAATACATGAAGCATTATATTCATTACATCTCAAAGATCTTAATGCAGTCATTTGATGTGTATTTGTCCATCCATGCAGTCATCCATTCATTTAGCAAATATGTCCAAAGTACTCTACCTTTGGGAATATAAATATGGAGTTATCGAGAGTAATTCTTGAACGAAAGAAAACTATGCTTCTAAATATAGCTAGAGATTGATGAAAGAGCAAGGATATTTACAGCATCTCAAGTGTTGGGTTTATGTGAAGCTGTCTTCAAAATTGTGACTGTCTAACAAAGAACCATTAGGTGCTTTTGACATCTAAGTATTTCTAGGTCTTCCAGAATTAGTGAATAGCGTCATTCTCTGGTTAATATTAGTTGAAAGTTATAATTTTTTTAAAAGATCTATTAAATTTACCCTGCTGTGATGTTAAAAGTACGTTTCACTTAAGAGTTTATCTTTGTGTGAAAGTTGCTAGTGAATTTTAGGCTTATGACTTTTATTATTCTTTAATAAACTGAATTTTAGTAAACTATGGAACTTATTTTAAGATTTTTTTATAACCCAAATTTTACCTTTATGTGGGCCTCCAGGATTGCCTGTTGGTCCCCTTGCCCTGTTGCTTTTTAAGATGTGTGTCTTTTCTAGGCTCAGTTTCCTTTAGAAGTTAAATTGGGGATGTGGAAAATGATTATTTAAATGTACAACGCAACCAAGTGGGATCCAACGGCTGATCTTTCCAGGCCTTCTGCAGTCTGTCCTCCGCTCCTCATGCCATCAAACCTCCACCTCCTCCTTCAGCCACCCAAGCCACCTCACTCGCCTCCCACATATTTGCTCTTTCCAGCTCTGGTCTTTGCCAATCTCGTTACCCTCCTCTTTGTCCATCCAAATCCTTCCTTTCAGGATGGCCCAAGTACCACTTCCCCCTGCCTTCTCTTTCAGCCCACCCTAATCTTTTCTTTCTTTTAACTTCCATTGGCTTTAGAATAGTACCTCAGTTTAATGTGGCACATTCTCTTATTATTCAAAGCACGTTGGCTTTGTTTCTGTGTTCATTGGATCATTCACTTGTTGACAAGTATTTTGATCACCTTCTGTTTGCCAAGTACCATCCTAGGTGCTGGAGGTGTAGTGGTGAACAAGACTGAGAAAGTCCATGCCTTCTTGGAGTTTACATCCTAGGGAGGAAGACAGGTAATTTTCTCGAAGGCAATCATTCTGCTTAATATGTTTTCTTACTCCCTGAAGCAATGAATAGGCTTTATCCTTGGTATACGAAAGCTTTGTATTTGAAAGATTTGTATTTGGAGCACATTTTGAAAGACGTGAATCCATAAGGTTTA